TTCGCGAGCGTAACGAGTATATATTTACAGAATTATAATCATTATAATCATCAATACTACCGTCTATGTTCGTATAATTCCAATGTGTTACGGCCCACAGCTGCCCCTGCCTCCTCGACGGGCAGCCGAGGGTTCGGGCCCAAGTGGCCTTATGGAAAAATGACCTATCATACTACACAATAGGGAGAAGGCGAGGTAAATAAATAGTACGTACCTGGATCCGAATCTAAGACCTCCCCAAGGGTCGGACAAGCCGTAGGTAGAGTAGATGCATGTGAAGTGGTGTTTAGTGCTGTGTATATGTAGGTGACCTGGCCCAGCTGAGGTGACCTGGCAGCGGCCGATTTCCATTCTGCCCCACAATGCTGCATCACTCCAGCAGACGTCCACAATGGACAATTTCTTTCTTCATTTCACTATTTCGGTCTCTCAACTTTAGTACATTTAACTAACTTCAACTCAACTAATTCAATGTTCATCGTAGAATCGAAAACGTGATACCCACCACAAGTACAGTAGTTCAAAGTTGAACATTCAATGTCCCGGATTCATTTATCACCAAATTACAAATAGGGAACTAACGCGATCTCTTCATGAGTCACACGGTTCAGCGTTACAAACACAACTAAGCTCCTTCGCTCCACATTAAATAATACGCCGCAATAAGAATTCAAAACCAACCTAGCTGACACGCAAACTAGCTACAGAGTATCACACAAAAGGCTCTTAACGCGACGGTATAATTAAACAATGATTTCCAAAACAATCAACCGGGCGATGCCTCGAAAAGGAATGCGCAGTTCAATTCCTGACCGTATCTCTACTCGGCGCGCGCGCAAATTCCACGTCACACGAGCAAGTTAAATATTGTAAAATGCACTTCAACACGCAATCACTATATAATTGGCGCAATTACTTTCAAACGAAATTACCTTAATCAGTCAAATACAATACAAGCCTCTTGTCACGAACTTAAAACCTAGACAAACTAAACCGGTTTTCACGAAACCACAATTACGTAGCAAAGTAACGCGCACAAATTCTAAAAATCTAGACCATAACCCAAAACAGGTCGCGCGAAACTTCGGCAGCGGCCACCGAGACACGCTAATTAACTGCATCGCTGCCCGCGAGCTACTGTCTCTCGCCTGACAGCTGAGAAGCTGCCTTCCGCTGCCGCCTCCCCGCGACACGCGTGACACCTGGTACCATCGGGCGATTCACTAAGTCGAACGTGATTGGATGCTGTCTCAAAATGACCATTTTTGGCCAAAACACAATGTATGGCTATTTCCAGAAAAACTCATTCAAAGGAATTATACGAACTTAGGGGGTTCTATTGATGATGATAATTATTATAATTCTGTAAATACATACTCGTTACGCTCGCGAATCATATTTTGTTAAGCATACAACCTGACAATGACCTGCAAATTGCAAAAAACGTAAGAAAATTTGAATTTCGCGGGCTATCCTGGAGCTTTGACCTTAATTCTTCGTGTGAGTAAGTAATTATATCCCTCAGACTTCATATCGTTATATAATTGCCGAATTGAGTTAATTGTTATGTTGAAAACATTTATAAATTTTATGATATTGATAAAGTCACGGCCATTCTTTTTATTTTTAACTCTCATGCTATTAAACAGATGCTGGGATTTATCTAGCAATTCCTCCTGGAGAGTGATACCCCTATACGGTTTACTGTAGGCTTTTGGTGAGTCGATGTTGCTTGAATTCAGTAAATCAAAGAGGTTGTTCATGGATTCATTAAAAAATATCGTGCCATCAGCAACTTGTAGAATACCCGATGATTGGTAATTTTTTTAAAGCTGCTACTACAGAATTGCTAAAAACTTGAACGGCAAAACGAACTTTTGTTTTTGGAAACTATTAGGCTGTAAATGTGGATCAATTAAGCGAGGAGCTGATCGCATATCTTTCATTTTATCTAGTTCATACATGTTTGTTATGTCCTCCCACCGAGTAGTTTGCCATAAAACTCAAAATTATAGTTCATTAAATTATTTCTTACGCACTTCATTAAGTGGGGAACATCAAATATGTAGTAAATTTTGTGACCATCAATCTCAAAACATGAGCTTTCTTTAGAGATCCTTAATGTTTTTGAAAATGCCAAAAAATCAGATCCTAGATCTGACACGAAAGCTCGTATATTAAAGCCAAGCTCTAAAAGACGTTTCACAGTAGCAATTATCCACGTTTTTTTATTGATCATCAATTTTACTGCTGGAGATAAAAGAAAAGCCAATAGGTTGTTTCCATTTCGATGTTATACCTCGAAGCATTAAGGTAAAAGCATACCCTGCGGCAACAGTTTGCTGTTGCCCATCTATTTCATGGAGGCCCAATATTTTATCTCCCTTGCTTTTATAGGATAAGTTTAATTTTAGACTCATCTCATCCATACAAAGTACACATTCTTTTTCGGATGATGACATATGCTTGATTGTAGCTGATAAAATATTCCACATTTGCTGGTTAAGTTTAGTTTGCATAGGTAGGTACATCTTAGCTAAAGTTGATTTAGACGGTAAACAAATAGTCTTCGATAAAAATCGATAAGCGAGCGGGCTTGTGTAATACATATTTAAGCAAAATAATTTGAATTCTCTGCTATATCTATTGTTTTTACAATGGGGTTTTAAATACATTTAAGCCTTTAAAATCGCGCTTAGCTTGGGGGATAAAAATTTATCACAACCATTCAAAAATTGTTCCGCGGTAACATCTTCATATTTTTTAGCAGTGCATTTTAACTTTTTACTTATTTTAAACAATTGTTTTCTAAGTTTCCTTTTTCGGAGAGTAAAGTCAGTCAATCGTGCTGGTGTCTGAGAACTATAATCTATACCTATATATTGTTTAGTGTTGGTGTGTTATGAATTTTGTGATGAAGGACCTGCTAATCTGCTAGTCTCTTCGAGGTATTTTTGGTATTAAAATACGGCGTTTATCGGAGAGTTCCAATATTACACCACTTAAAATTTTGACTTTAGGATCAGTCTGTGTATGGATCGAGATAAAAAAAAACTTCGAAAGACAGAAGACGAGGCACTATAGTATGATCTAAAACCTTAGCCTGTCCAACCACACGATTTAGATGAAGAAAAAAATCAAACTTCGAAACAGTAATACCCACTGACTAGTACCTATTTTTTACGTCCGCCATTTTTTTACGTCCGCCATTTTTTTACGTTGGCAATGAGGGCTAATAATTTTCTGCTCACCAGATGTCGCTAGTTGACACTGAGGTAAAGTTTTTTGTTACACAATATAATTTCATTGAGAAGTTGTTTATTAATAAAAGTTTATCAGATTCTAGAATATTATATTAATACACAAAACAATGCCTCAGTGGTTTGCATTTTAATTTTTTGCACTTTTTTAACTTTTTTTTTCATTTTTCTACTTTTATTTATATCTGTGGTTTGGTTGTTATTTTTAATCTTATTAATATAAAATACAGCTAAAATTACAGAAAAAACATTAACCTTTACATTTTCCGAACAAATTAACTTCCCCGCTATGAAATCTGTCAAATATTATACCTGACTTTTAACTGGCGCCGCCCTGGTGGCAGAAAAAGTTGTGGATGCCCTCATTCGCTATGACATGACAAAATATACATAATGTAAAAAATAATAACAATATTTATTTACCTTTCTTCAGTGTGCGGAATTTGGTGAAATCGCAGCTCTTTATTTATGCGAGATGACGACTTGCAATCTCTAACAGCACACGACGTGTGCTGTTAGAGATTGAATTTGAATTGAATGAACCAATTTAATTATAAGTATCAACACTAAATTTAAAAATAATAAAAGCAAACGCACGTTAACCCTGGAAGTCGTGTCCCGAGCTACTAAATAATAATACAATATACGATTGGCATGAGCAGCTCGGGCTCGTCTTTCCCACGTCTCACCCCTCACACCCCGCACGATTTCCCTGTCTAGACGTCTCCGTCGGACGACTGTATGGATTTATAGACTGTGAATGTACATATTACGTTTTTTATTATTTAGTTGACACTGCACGTTTAATTATCAACAGTATAACTTTTAGTAGTGTCTAAAATACTTGGTCGATTTTCCATTTTAAGTTATGTTGGAGATCTTTTTCTGACGACACCACATTATATTCTCATATAATTTCTATAGAAATGTTTGTTTTGGCAACTCGTAAAAAGTACCTCAATAAAAAAGGAGTAGGAGTATGTGAACTTTTGCCCAAATGTCAACCTCTGTCGAATGACTAATGGCGGAGGAATAATACCAATATTTGACCAATCCTAAATCTCGAAAATTGGCGATGGGAAGCATATTCAATGCGAGGGTATCGACACTGCTCGCTAACCCGTGGTATTAATATGCATACTTGATTGCGTATTTTTGTTTAGTACACGTGTTAGAAAAGCCAAACTAATTTATTGACGACTGTAGTGTATTGGTAAGTATAATATATAATATAATATAAACACTCACGCCTGGTGAGTATTGGTAAGTCTGTAGGAGAAATTAATATAGTTACCATCAGGTGTTTTCATGAGAAAAATTATCACAATAACATTTACGTAAAGCATGACCTTTATATAAATTGACATTTTTAATTAGTCTGGTCACAGACTAGCAGAGGGTAGTCAAATTTAATAAAAACTTTCCATATAATATCAACTATATTATTGTTATTCACATTCTAGTCGAAGTAGTTACATGATGCATTATGTATTAAGTGTACGGAATTATAAAGTAATATTCAACATATGGCACACTTTTTATCATGGGAGAGTAAAACATATTATAACCTGCGTTTTGAGATTCCTCCGCACTATCGCAGTTAATAAAACCATACTGCATATTGTATAAACAGTTGAATTATTTAATTGTTTAATAAATAACAATAAATTTGAAGTGAATCGCCATTTTGCCCAATTTATAACATCCAATATTCAGAATACTTTTGTCGTGTTTTCCCAGATTAAATAAAGATACAAAATTACAAAACATTGTTAGAAGTGTAGAGAATGCAAGCAAAACTTATTTGAAGGGTATAATAAATATATCGAATGAAGAAGCAGTCTCATCTGATTTTAACAGAGATACTCATTCTTGCATTTTGGATGTCAACTCGAGTATGCAGCATAAACCTAATTTTTTTAAACTTGTTTGTTGGTATGAGAATGAGTTTTCATACGCATGTCGCGTGATCGATTCAATATTTTTCTCTGAAACACAATATAATCAAAATATTAAAGAAACGAACCTAAACTCTCTTGTAACTAAGCAAAAGCATTTGACACGGGAATCACTTGAATATCTTAGACAACCCCATGTTATTGGTGATAACTGTACCACAGATACTCTTCCAAATGTACTGAGAGATGTTTCTAAAAGCATAGACTTTAAGATGAAACCACGGTATAGCCAAATATTTCGAAAGAGGCCATTATCATCCCAAATATCTGTGATAAATCAATCGACACTAACTGATTGGAAGACGAAAAACAGAAGTGATATATTTAAAACAATAGACTACGATGAAATAACTGATAAACCTGCTTCGAAACACAATAAGAAATCATTTTACAAAAGTTGCATCTCATTAAAGTTGCCAAGTCCTGATCGAAATGACACTAAAATGGTCCGAAATGGTCTGGAGAATGTTAAGAGAGAATTTAATAAAGTAGTGAATATCACAGAAGAATTGCTTAAAAAATCAAAAGAGCATCAGTTTAATAGGTTGAAGACTATTTCTAGTGAGAGTAAAATAGAATATAATTTGAACGAATTACAGAAAGAACCAGACCTTATACAAAGGAACTTGAACAATGATAACATATTTATTAAAAATTATACAAAATTGCAGACGGACAATTTAATTGAATATAAGTATTTAAATGATGCAAATAAAAACGAAGTAACACTAAATTCTGAAGCAATAAGTCTTAAAAGGGTTGATAAAACTTTGACAATTGATAAGACTATTGATAAGATAGAATGTATTGAAGGTAAATTTATAAAAGCGTATAATTTAGAGACAAAAACTGTAACTTGTAAAATTGTGTAGTTCTAAACTTCTAAATATATTTTTTTATTGTTTAGGTGAAGATGGAATAGGGTTTCAAGAGGAAAATAATATTCATGTCAAAACTTTATACGACTTTTGTGAAACAGTTACAAGATGTACTTCGAGTGAGATTATTTCTGAACGAGCAATAGATGAGCTACAAGAATATAAAACAAAAAATAATATTCAAGAAACTAGTTTTCATGAAATAACTACCAGTCCTATTAATGTGATGAGTCATGAGTGCGATTTAAGTACGATGAATAAAAGTGAAAAACAAATTCAAGAGCAATATTTAGATGATCAAAGTTTGAAGGTAAGAAACACAATTACTAGTGGAGATGGTATTACTACGGTATTGGAAAATAAAAATACAGCAAATGTATTTGAAACTGTTATATTAAGACATACTGAAGATAACAAAACAGAGCAAAACGAAAATAAGGCTTTACGAAGAATTGTTGATGAACAAAATGATTTAGTTCTAAAACAAGTAACATCTAGAAATATATTACTGCGCCCAAGTCAAGAAACAACAAACATATCAATAAATAAGATGATGACCGATGTAAACGAAAGGAATGATGATATCTATGATAAACTGGATAGCACAAGTGCAACTAATTCAGACAATTCATTTCATATGGATGAAAAACAATCACAAGTTATTAATATAAATGATTTAACAAATTCCTTAGATGATTTGTCACGCTTGGAAAAGATTTGTAGAATTATTGAAATTTCCGATGACCTGTCAAATCAATTATTTTCTACATTGCAAGAACATGATACTACCAAAATGAAAAATAAAAAATGGTCTTTTAAAGATCTTTGTGAAAAAATTCAACTGGATGATTTTTGTAACAAAGTGTTCAATCAAACAAATAAGTAAATTATATTTATTTTTCTTTCATGGTAATAAAAACGCATTATTTATTAATAAATTTTGTTTAATTATAAGGCATGATTTAATCTTTCGTTTAACATCATATATGTAAATATATAAGATAATTAAACATACATTTTAAGATTTAGCTTAATAGTAACATTAAATAAAAATATCACACATATTATACATTCATAAAAAAATAAAAAAGTAATAAAATGCAGGTACAGGTAGGAGATATAAAATCAGAATTGGAATATTTTTGCTAAAACGTCTTACCCATGGTTGTGATAAACTAAATCAACATTTTTTAAAAGTTTCATATTGAGTTGTATGATAGTTTTGGGGAATGTACTGTCATCCATTTCAACAAAGTCTGCAATAACTACATTAACTGGTGCTTGGGAAGCTTCGTTTGTCAAGGGTGGTCCTGGAGAGAAATCTAATAATTTCGGAAGTACTTCATTTTTTACAGGAATTGCACATTTTTCGCGAAGTGAGGATATCCATCTATAAATATTAAGAAATAAAATGCCAAATTATTTTTTCATAAATGCATTGTATAATATGCGCTTATATAAATAACTACCCACATTTTTAAAACTGATGTATTGTTAAATTCAATATGCAGCATTGTGAGGTAACGGCTTAAGGCAATCCAATACCATGAGTATTGGATTGCCTTAAGCCGTAGATTTACCGTAAGTTTTGTCAGAATCTACTGAGAAAAATTCCGAGAATATCTCGTGGCTTCCAATAGATGGTTGTACAAGCATCTTGTATATACCATATGAGAACTATATTATAACTCGAATTATATCATTACTCTTACCGGTAGACGAAGTGTACAGCGTCCCCCCACTAGATGGAGTGAATACTTCGTAAAACATGTAGGAAGTCGATGAATGCAGGTGGCTCAGGACTATGCTTTATGGCATTGCTTGGGGGAGCACTATGTTCAGCAGTGGACTTGTGAAGGGCTATAATTATGATGATGATGCCAGAATATCTTTCCTGAACGGCGATAGGGAGCAACTTCAATGGTGCGAGATATGGTATTTCAATAGCCAATCTACCTACTAAGAGTAGAATATCCTTTCATCAATGGGAGCCACATTCAGCAATGGACTGTTTACGGGCTGATGTAATAAATATAAAATAGTTGCTGTTTAGAAATATAAAACGTATAAAAGACATGGAAAAGAGCGTAACAAATTACATTACCTGAAGAAAATAAAAGCGGGTGTAGGCGTCAATACCACTTGGTGAATGAATCCCATACCAGGATGTCGCTTTACATGACGCAAGAAGTTCAGTAGACCACTGACATGATCTTGCCGAGGCCAAGGGGACGGCATCATTTGTGGCTGCCAAAACTCATTGGTAGCATATACCGATTGATGTCGATATACAACTACAATCTGAAAGTAATTGTATGAGATAATTATTTACTAATAAGAATTGTTTTGAGGTCTTGTTCTAAGAATTAGAATAATTTCTTGTACAAGTATTTGTACAAGTCAAGTCCATTGCCAGAAATTGGCCTTTGTCATTTTAGGGAGAATGTGCTATGACAATTATTAAGATACTTATATTAAGTATACAATTATTAGTAAGCACACAGTTCACCTGAGGTTAGTGGATGATCTGGCCCATAGACATCAACATCTATATTCGATTAAGAATTAAAATGCACATGCGTTTTCACCCTTGAGTACTAAGATGGAATGCCTCGTTACCAGTAAAACGGGTCTCTGTTTCTCTACACTCACCAAACGAGACACAGCAGCACGATAAGCTGTTTTTTCACGATGTTCTCTGTGAGAGCGTGGTCCTACCCCGATCGAACCGACCTATTCGTATCGCAACCATAATAAAGCTGCAGCGTGGCTTTTTACCACGTGAAATAATGACGTGAAGCAATAATGAAGTTATATCAAGAGACTATTAGCGCTACAAGTGTTCCCGCAAACAGGAGCACTCAGTTGTACTAGCTGTGTTCAAATTATCTCTAGTACGACATTATTGCGATAGACCAACCAGGATTGGAGCATCTTATGCATTCAATGTAAGAGAAATTGGGATTCTCAACATAAAATCCGAAAACGAACGATTTGTATTTTCGCACAAGTGTTCCGAAATCACGAGGAGTGCTCGGAGGTATTGTTCGGATTAATTCCAGCCGCCACGAACGCACATCGCATCAAAATTCACGATACCTTCCTCAGGATCTGGATGCTTGTCGGTCTACCACTGAGCATTTAACTAGGGAGTTTTCTTCCTCGTATAACTTCTCTATGGAATTGTTTACCACCAGCGATTTTTCCAGGCCGATGACACAAGAAGTAGGGTTAAAGGTGTGAAACGAAAAGTGTAAATCATCCACAGCAAACTAAGGAATGGTCACCATAACACACGGTAAGCCTCCAACACTGAGACGACAAAAATGGACACGCTGTATGTGTTATGTATGTATTTGCCCATGTACATTTCCCAGCGTGGATATCCAATATATGACGAAGATTCACGCTCTCACAGAATACCAGCGTAAAATAGCAGCTTAACGCTGCTGTGTTTCGTATGGTGAGTGTAGAGAACCGGAGACCCTTTTTACTGGAAACGAGGCATTCCATCTTAGTCCTCACGGGTGACAACGCATCTGCATTTTGATTCTTAATCGAAGATAGATGTAGATGTCTATGGGCCACAGCAACCACTTACCATTAGGTGGACTGTGTGCTCGTTTATCACCCTTATCCTATATATAAAAAAAAAGATTAACTAAACGATCATTCGCATGAAAGAATGTTAAGTCCGCCTTTGTATTTTTTTGTGCAGCGAATATGAAATTTAAAAAAAATGTTCACAGTAGTACCCACTCCACCCCCTTCGTACGTACGTACATACTTCATAAAAAAGGGACCTTATAAATCTACTATCGCCCATGTCAAGTTTGTGCTCATCACTCGTGCCGCTATATATGTATAACTGGCACCTTAAATTTTTGACTTTTAGTTCAAAAACTATAAAAAACTATAGTATAGTGCATAATTTCAATGTAATTAATATTCATGGCCTAAAATGTATAGGAATGTAGTTCAGTAAATCTGTAACGTTCTATACATGGGTTTAATCTTGGCGAAGAGACATCGGTCGAGACTTGTCTGTAACCAGTGTGCGACCGTCAAAATAACCGCAGGTACAACTCTGCATGTTGTGGAGCCCACCATATAGCTCTACCTACATCTTCCGTTTGTATCAAAGAACGTCGGGAGAAGACGTCCTGCGCTTTGTGGAAGAACGAAACCGATAACGCATAGAGGATCTGATCTCTATACATTTGCAGCGTCTGGAATCTAATAGGTCAACGTATTTCAAATCCTATGTACTCCAGGTTCTTGGAAAATACAAACAGACATTCTTTGCTGCCGATTTCTGGTTCTCTGGGGTAGTGTATTGACGACATAGGGAAGCGTCAGAGAAGAAAGTACCCTAAACAGAGCTATGTTTATGTTGCTGCTATGGGCTATTGTCCTTATTTTTTAATAATTAATGTCTGAAATAAAAGATGTATGATAATAATACTGTATGATAATTTATGTACTTATTTAGTTTTAGTTTTCTTTTTTATAATATATATTGTATTAAATTGTATCTTCTTCTTTATCTTTTATCTTTTTTTAAAAAACGTCACACTCACACTAGGATTTTCTGCTGTGTCGTGGAGGCAGTTTACAAACATAAATTGCACAAGGACAAACATCCAGACCCGGAACAATTATTTGTAGGCCATGCAAATAGTTGTTCCGTGCGGGATGCGAACCCGCGGCCCCCAGCGCAACAACTGATTGCTAAGCCACTGCGCCACGGAGCCGTCAATAAATTAAAATTAATTTATAAATTGTATAGAACATACTTGCTGATTTAATCTCGCTAGTGAGTTAAGGGTAACTTTTTGTATATCTATTTGTCTGGGAACAAGCCGCGGTCCAAATAAGCCCAATAGAAACCGCATAAGTCGTTGGTGATCGTCTAGCGTGAATCCGTAAAAATGCTGGAAGTCTAATATAACAACCTGAAAAAGAACACTAAATTAGTAAATAATAAAAATAAAGTTAATAAGTACAGTTTTAAAGATTAGTTTCATGTACAACTTGGCCAAAACAATTAGGCGCATGACAGGAATGCGGTTTCGGCGCTCGCACACTGCCTCTATCCCGGCGCTTCCCCTAGTGACCAATCACCGTCCCATGTTCCGTCGCTAGTTCTAACGACAAGTTAGCTGTCATGTGCCTAATTGTTTTGGTCAAATCTATAGATTAATCCAATTTTCGTGGATTTGGATGGTCAATATTTTTATTAGACATCTACTGTTTTACTAAAAATCGTGGTTTATAATGAAGTCTCGTGTTTAAACTATGGTTAGTCCTTCTAACTGCAGAAGTCCGTAAGCCGTGTCACATGAGTAAAGAAACGGACCAGAGGGGAAGCTACATACAAACGTCTCGCTGCGGGTACACCCACACAGCGCAGCGATGTGTGCGTGAGCTCTCACCGACAGGTTCACCGACGCTCCGTCGGGGTACAAACTGGTTTGCGCCGGCTCAGTCGGAGTAAGAATGAAAGGGCTGTTTGAATACATGTTGAAATAAATAGACGAATAATATTTCGTATTTTTATAGATCAGTTATAAATTTATTTAAAGTATTTTTACAATTAGAGTTAAGTTTAGAGATTGTGTAATAGTGGTGTCGGTGGTAGGGTTGCTGGTGGACGGTGGTACTGATCGTGCTGGTAATTATGTCAGTGGTGGTAGTGATGTTGGTAGTATAATTTGTGGTGGTGGACAGTGGACCATTACTGTCACCAACACCACCACGACCAGCATCACCACCAAGCATTACTACCACCAACACTATCAACACCACCACCACCGACAGTTCCTACTACCACCATCACAGTCATTACCACCACCACCTGATTTTTATGCGCTTAACCTCTGAGCTACCACTGCTTATGCCATAAGACACTACACTATGAAAATATGTATATTTTGCTTGTTTAGTAGTCAGTAGTTTCAACTAAAGTTACAAATAATAGACATAGTGTTATATTAACATAAGTTACAATGAATACACATGTTGTTTTATACTATATAATTTTTTTCTTATATTTTTCACATGCATCAGGTGATAACCCTATCAGAATAGGTATACATTTTCAACTTTGTTAGGAAGCTTCCCCTTCTGGTCCTTACTTTTTACTCTGTGGCCGTCTGTCACGCTCTTTGCGAAATTTGACATTTGTTGTTAAATTCCATACTTTAGGTACATTTCAGTTCACATGTATTCGCGGAACTTTGTTGAAACGGATTATAGTTCAAACTTGAGACTTATTACAAACTATTTTTTTATTTAAAACATCAAACCAGAAAAAAAAAAACATCTACACGAAACCTGTTATGATCGCATCTCGTCATGTTCATTTAACCATCTAGAGTTATGGTTGTGGTAATTGATGATAGCAGTGGTATTAATTGTTTAATCGTTACGTTCTGGGAGATCTTGTATGACGGGAAGGGTGAACTGATCAGACAATTTTATAATAGCATACTTCAAATACACTAGATGGTAACCTTCTCTGCTTAGTTATCTATCTGTGTTGGTTTTTTTTTATAGAATAAGGGTAGAATAACAAACTAAAAAAATTTTTAGAATAAGGGCAGATGACCTAGTAAAATACCTAATGATAAATGACTACCAGCCCGCAGGTACACTGTCACCTCAGAAGACTAAGATATCCCCCACAACATTTAATTATACCATCGCTCTTACCCGTCAAACTCAAAATGCAGTAGATGTACTGCTGCTTAACACCAGAATTTGTCAAGACAGTAGTACAAATAGACAGTAGTTTTTACGTGGTAGAGCCATCCTGCAGCTACGTATATTAATAGTATAGTTGTAGCACGAAATGGTCGGAAACACAGCAGCGTTAGGCTGCTGTGTTTCGTATGGTGTAAGAAAACCGGAAACCCTTTTTACTGGAAACAAGACATTCCATCTTAGTCCTCACGGATTTTGATTCGTAATCGAAGTTAGATGTAGATGTCTATGGGCCACAGCAACCACTTACCATCAGGTGGACTCTGTGCTTGGTTGTCACCCTTATGCTATAAAAAAAATAATGCCTTATCCCTTTGCGGTGCAAGGTATTCCATCTAAATCTCCAGAAAAAATTATGCAACTGTAACCAGTCAGCTGGAACTATACTAATTACTAACCTCACCAGGATGTGAATCAACAAAATTCATCACTTGATGTAAAGCCTCTGTTATTTCATCAGCATACAGTCCATGCGTAAAATAAAATTTGGCATCACCAGTCTTTGTTGCAAGCCTTAAGTCAAAGTACCTGTAAAACGTATATTGATATATAATTTCACCACACAACTTTTGGACGTATATAAAGAGAGATGGGACTACTTCTTGCTTACTAAAAAACTAAGCTCGTGACTATCAACTTTTTTTTTATAAGATAAGGGTGACAAACGAGCACACAGTCCACCTGATGATAAGTGGTTGCTGCTGCCCATAGACATCTACATTTATTCTCGATTACGAATCAAAATGCAGATGTGTTGTCACCAGTGAGGACTAAGATGGAATGCCTCGTATCCAGTAAAAAGGGTCTTCAGTTCTCTACACTCACCATACGAAACACAGCATCGTAAAGCTGCTATTTTACGTTAGTATTCTGTGAGAGTGTAGTCCTTTCCCGGTCGAGCCGACCCATTCGTGCTACGACTATACTACTAATATAGCTGCAGCATGGCTCTACCAAGTACAAAGTTGACAATCTATTATCTCTTTCCATCTTGTGTATTTGTGTCGATGCTATTTAATGCTGGTATTCTGTGAGCGTGGTCCTTCCCCGGTCGAGCCGACCCATTCGTGCTACAACTATACTACTAATATAGCTGCAGCATGGCTCTACCACGTAATCGTAAAGTAATGGCATTATGTCCATTCGAAAATACCTAACACAATAATTTGTGGAATAGTTTTTTTTTTCCTTCCGATTACAATCGGCGTGTCTTCAAAGCAAGAGTGCTATTGACTCTTGATCACTACTTTTTTTACTAAGACAGTGCGATTTACCATCTAGTTCTTTATCACCACTTACACTTACTACAGTCAAACACGGGCTTATAATAAGTAAAAATATGCTACAAAACAGTAATGGGAAGCAGAATTACCAGTGTGGCATATCTGCTTACCAACCCACCTGTTTAGCATAGGCTTACCAAGGTACATATGATAAATGTAGTCTGTGCTCAGAGAAAAACATAAGGTTTCTATAGCAGATACCTTTAGTTAGTTAACGACATGGTATTTAAAATAATCCATCTATTCTACTGTGTTGAAAGAGGAAGACTGAAAATTTAATTGCAATGTATTGAAATTAGGGATTTTCCATTGTGCAATTTTTTTTAAAGTAAGGTTAAAACAATGAAATCAGTTGGCACCTAACTGTGATACAAAACAATATTCATCATCATAATTACAGCCCTTCGATAACATTTATAATATTATTTGTTATTAATTTTTTATTTTATGAAGCTAGATTGTTAATGTTATTACGTGTTTTGCAGTTAATTTTCTGTTATTATATGTGTGAGTTTGTGTATAACTGCCCCATTGGTCTGGTTGTACAAGGTTCAAATCCTGGTTGCGGGACAAAATTAGTTGTAGGGTTTTATGTTAAGAAATTTTCAATAGCAGCTCAGAGTCAGAATACTGGTGGTGTTTCACAGTCGTGCCTCGAAAAGTATATAAATAAAAAAAAATTGGTCCTGTGTCTGAGCTGTCTCTGGTTGTATTGGATTGCCTTCCCATCGGACTATGGGAATGAGGGAACAGAGAGTGCACCAGTGCTTATGCAAACACATGTGCAGCAGATTCCTGTCCTACACAGATGGTTGGTCTCTATTGAAACATGCCAGTGTGACAACTTGCGTGTATTTACTTACTGGGGTGACATAGTCACTGCTTGACTAAACCCCTTAATGTAAAAAAAGTGTGAAACAATAATATTTGTCAAATAGTCGTTGTACTTGAAATCAGCTGATGAAATGAATGGGAATGACAAATTACAATGTAAATTCGGCATATACATTAGTACCATCATGTAAGTGTTAGACAGACAACATGAAATGGAGCAGATCCCTTTTTAACAAACACAAAAATAAAAATATTACAATATATATAATGTACCAAGATAATGATGGTGGGTTGTGGACTTTTTTCAGACCAAATATATTATTTTTGAGTCCAGTAAAGAGTTGTAATACTACTTATAGAAGTACAATCTAAATACTGCACTTTGAACTATCCTCGTTTGTGAATCAAAATGCAGATGCGTTGTCACCCGTGAGGACTAAGATGGAATGCCTCTTTTCCAGTAAAAAGGGTCTCCGGTTCTCTACACTCACCATACGAAACACAGCAGCATTAAGCTGCTATTTTACGCTGGTATTCTGTGAGAGCGTGGTCCTTCTCCAGTCGAGCCGACCCATTCGTGCTACAACTATACTTTTAAATAAAAATCCATAAAAACCCGCGTTAAAGAACACATAGCTGATGTGAAGAATAGACGCTCCGGGAAGTCTGCAGTCTGTGAACACGTACAGGATCGCCCCCGTCACTACATTAGATTTGATAGACCACAAATCCTCGCTAAAGAACACCGATTCCTTCCAAGGATGATTCGCGAGGCTATTGAAATCAAAAAACATCCTAATTTCAATAGAGAAGATGGCTGGGTGCTACCATCTGCTTGGGATCCCATAATTAATAAAATTAAATCCCAACCCAAGCATACAACTGCAAGACTTCATGATACTGTAAGTTCATACTGCGTAGATCGGAACAAAAATTAATAATTTTTAATCTGGAGGTAGCCGTGGTTAACTATGACATTGGGACGTCATACACCTCAGTCCCCCCCGTGACCATGGGTGCTGTAAAGTGCTTGAAACGTCGGGAAAGTAAAATAAGTTAATATACGCGATAAAATCCGTAAAATTAGTTTTATTTAAATGTGTAGTGTTCGCGTAAATATAAGAAATCATTATACAACTATACTTTTAATATAGCTGCAGCATGGCTCTACCACGTAAAATTTTGCTCATAAGGCTATTAAGTGATTTCAATTAGATTTGCAATGAATAGTATAGACTGAATATAATGTAGTATATAATACATCCTAACGCCTGAAATTCCTTTTGCTTCTAAAGTAGGGCGTTCCCAAAGGTGCGGGCTCCATGGAGGGTGGGAAGCCGGGGGGATGAATTTTAAAAAAACACAAATTATGGACAATTTAAGGCCCAATAAGAAAGAGGGAGAGGTGTCAGAGGTGCTTACCAGAGACACCAAAGAACAAAAGGGAACCGTCACTAAACCGACGGTTCCACGGACAGTACCGTCCAGCGTAGGTGCCCCCACCAAAGGGATAACCTCGCTGAACGTTTCCAAAACCAGTTCCAAGGAGCTGGAAGAGAAAAAGAAACAAGAGCCCGCAAGTGATAAAACTGCGGAGCCACTACGGACTGACGACCTTTTCTCTGCTGCCTGGCAAGTGGTGAGCCGTAAGGGGAAAGGCAAGGCACCCAAAAAGGTGACTTGCCGACCTGACGGACCATCAGGAGGGTCTATCCCTGCAGGCAGTAGTGGAAAGGCCAAAAAGAAGAACAAGAAGCAGCGGGAAAAAGGCCGTAGAGAACGAGCCGCATTGGCTGCTTCAGATACCAAAACCAAGGAGGCTGGGCAAGCTACTGCGACTGAGGTGCTTGGCGCTGGAACCAGTAGCCGCGCTGAAGCTGGGAAGGATAAAAATCCAGCCCAAGTGGAAGTCGCGGACGCGGGAACCAGCTCTAGGATATCCGCCAGGAAGCAGCGAGCGGCCAAGCGTCCTGGGAAGAAGGAAAGAGCAGCCAAAAGGATGCTGGAAGAGTCCACCTCGCCTAGAGGTGAACACAAAAAAGTGGACTCGAACAGCAACCAAAGACTGCAAGAACGAGCTACGCTTCCGCTGCTAAAGCAGATTTGGGTGTGGCCTTAACGTGTGCGCGTTCAGGTCACATTACGAAGGAAGTAGCAGACGACATCCTCGTAGCAATACAGAGGATCATCGAGGCCTGGAGTAGCCAGGACCCTGATGCGTCGGGCCCAGTTTTTAGGGGCAAACCCGTTTATACGGAAGGTGTCCTGAAACTGTGGTGCGACGATCAGAAGGCTCTGGACTGGTTGAAGGGGAACATTGCTACCCTCGACCTTAAATCCAGCACCTTGCTGACAATAAAGAAACAGTCAGAGATACCACAAAGAGTCAAATGAGGTATCCTTATCCCTGATGCCCAGGGGGCCTGGAAAGACTCACGCGACATTGGTCGCGTGTTGGCGTACCAGAACCGCTGGGTTAACATCAGGGACTGGCTGTTACTCAAGGCAGATAAGCAGACGGACGGGTGGTTCCTCGTTGTTTCGGTGCCGGAGGATCATATCCCGACCCTGATGAAGGCCGGACGCCGTCTCGCATGTGTATGCGGGGCGGTATACGTAAAATTCCAGGGTCGTGGAGGCAAATTCTTTGATACTCCACCGAGCAAAGAGGTAAAAAACAACCCGGAAGTTATGGATACCGGAGCCATAGTTACCGGTACAGCGGAATCACTGGAGGCCAAGTCCAGTGAAGAGACGGCCTGCACAATTGAGCCGAAGCCCCCAGTGGAGATTGGGCTCAGCGGCAGCTCACTGAGTGACGAGGAGGACTGCATTTTGCCGACCACCTCCGACTCGGTGGCTGACGATGAAACCCGAGATCTTCTGGCAGGCCTATTTTTGGGCGGGGACGGGGAGGACGCGATCAATGATGGCGTGCCCTTCGTCCAAAACTAGCCTAGTGCAGGCCAACCTCCACCACAGCGAAACTGCGTCGGCTCAATTACGCAAGTGGTTGGAGGTTCAAAGGACTGCCATAGCCTTAATCCAGGAGCCATGGGTTGGGGCTGGTAAAATTAAAGGCCTAAACAACCTAAAAGGTAAGTTATTCTACAGCTCTGAACACGACAAGCCTAGAGCGTGTATTTACACTACTAAAGATATCTGTGCACAACCTTTAACAGATTTCTGTTCTAGAGACATGTATGCCGTAGCAATACAGTACACACAGGAGAGTAGATTAGTCGTCGCCTCGGTCTACATGCCGGAGGAAGACACTCCTCCCCCTCATGACCTCAGCAGGCTGGTGAACTTCTGCGAGAGGACCGGACTAGAGGTTGTGATCGGGACGGACTCCAACGCACATCATCCCCTTTGGGGAATGGAAAAACCAAATGAACGAGGTAAAGTTTTAGTTGAATATTTATTTAGTACTAACCTAACCATTTTAAACATAGGTTCTGAACCTACTTTCATAAACAAACGCTGTCGCACTATAATCGACCTCACACTTGCAACAGAAGGAGCAGCCAAACTAATTACGGGATGGCATGTGTCGAGAGAGGCCTCATGCTCAGACCATAGATGGATCTGCTTCGCACTAAGGTCGATATCCCCTCTACACCACCATGGAGAAATCCCCGCAAGACAGATAAAACAAAATACCTAAATAGGCTGACGTCTTTGCTAGCGGATTTTGAGGGGATAAATACTATAGCAGATCAGTCGCTCCTAGAAGAACAGGTAGCAGCTGTTACTAAGGCCATGATAGACAGCTACCATGAATCATGTCCAGAAATCACTCCACCAAGACATGCCGAGGTAAAACAACCGTGGTGGGGTAAAGAACTCGATAGAAAACGTAAGAAGGTAAGAAAAGCTCTAAATAGGGCCATGAATACCTCAATGGATGAAGACTGGCTATTATATAAGAAAGCTAAGTCTGAATACAAAAAATGTATCAGGTATCGACGCTCGATTGGGTGGCGTAAATTCTGTGGCAACATAGAAACCTGCAAACAAGCAAATAGGATTAGGAATATTCTAGCTAAACAGAACACGTCGGGATCCATGTCTCTAAAGAAACCCGACGGTAGCTACTCAACATCGCCGGATGAAGCCCAACGCATCCTAATTGAAACGCACTTCCCAGGTTGCTGCGTAACCCAGGAGGCAAACCGGCATGACGACATACTGACATCAACAGCAGAAGACTGGAATTTAGCACAGAGAGTGGTAACGATGGACAAAATCCATTGGGCCATTCACAGTTTCCTCCCCTATAAGGCGGCAGGACCCGACGGCATATTCCCGGCACTCCTACAGTGGGGGGGTAAAGCCCTAATAGTCAGACTTGCTGCCATAATGCGAGCCTGTCTTGCTCTTAAATATGTTCCTAGGGGATGGAGGGAAGTGAAAGTTACATTCATACCCAAACCAGGTAAGAGCGACTACACTGACCCTAAATCCTACAGGCCCATTAGCCTCACATCCTTTCTCCTAAAGACGATGGAGAGGATGTGTGAAAGGGAATTAAGGGGGTCGGCGCTAATGAACTTACCACTACACGACAAGCAACACGCCTACAGTCTAGGCAAATCAACAGAATCGGCCCTTCATAAGGTAATTACAAAAATTGAAGAGGCCATCCAAAACAAAGAAATATGTCTAGGTTCCTTCATAGATATAGAAGGTGCTTTTGACCGAACGAACTTCTCCAGCATAAAAGGTGCACTCGGTAGACACAAAGTTGAACCGGCACTGATCGACTGGATAGTTTACATGCTCAGTACACGAATAATAAAGATTGCTGGTGAATCTCAACCAATCCAAATTAAGAAAGGCTGCCCGCAGGGTGGGGTTCTCTCACCTCTCCTGTGGAATATGGTCATTAATGAACTCATCAGCAAATTAAATGACAATCACTTCTATACAGTAGGTTATGCTGATGACCTGACAATACTGGTCTCTGGAAAGACAGCAAGCATAGTGTGCGACCTGACCCAAGCGGCTCTCCGTATAGTGGAGAGATGGTGCAGGGAACACGACTTAACCGTCAATCCAAATAAAACGGTTTTAGTTATGTTCACACAAAAACGAAAGCTGAATAACTATCATCCTCCAAGTCTTTTTAGCACAAAACTCCAGCTATCCTCTGAGGTAAAATATTCAGGTCTTACCTTGGACAGCAAACTTAACTGGAATAAACACATAGAAAACAAAATCAACAAAGCTAGTATAACTTTCTGGCAATGCAGAAACATGATTGGCAAAAGATGGGGATTGACGCCAAAAATCATACTGTGGCTTTACAAAACTGTAATTCGGCCCATGATCACATACGGCGCTCTGGTATGGTGGACCAAGACAAATGAAGCCACCATAATTAAAAAGCTTCAGCGCTACCAGAGACTGGCATGTATGGCTGCCACAGGCTGCATGAGAACTACGCCAACAGCAGCCTTAGAAGCGATGCTGGAGCTAACTCCGCTTCATCTACATATACAACAAGAAGCGACTTTAGCTGCCATCAGACTCAAGACCCTAAATCTTTGGAGTAAGAATAGTGTCCCTCATACAGGCATAATTGATAGAATTCACTCAAAAATTCCTATCCTACAAGCCAAATACGATAGGATTCCTAAACAATTTGTTTTCGATAAGAAATACAAGATACAGTTAAATGAAAACAGCCAGCCGGAAGGATTAAGCCCAAAAGAGCTTAGAATTTTCACCGATGGTTCTAAAACAAATGAAGGTGTAGGTTCTGGAGCTTTCTCTGAAGACCTCAATATTCACATATGCACACCGCTGGGTACCTATAACACGGTCTTTCAGGCGGAATGTATGGGTATCATTCAAGCGGCCATAGCAATAGATGCTAGGAAGGTTAATGACTTCCCCATCAGAATACTGACCGACAGTAGGGCGGTACTCCAAGCCCTGAGATGCAATGTGGTGAACTCGGGACTAATATATGAATGCCATCAACGATTAAATGAGGTATGTAAAAACAATAATGTGACCCTGCAATGGATAAAGGGACACAGTGGATCCAGAGGCAACGATGCAGCAGACGAACTGGCTAGAAGAGGATCGGCTTTGGCCACTATAGGGCCGGAACCAATCATACCAATCCCCTTTGGTAACGTTTGTTCACTGGTACGTAGACACTTCACTAATCAACACGCTCAGCTTTGGAAAAATCTAGTAGACTGTAGACAAGCTAGGGATGCCCTGCCTGAAATTAACAGTCGCTTAACAAAAGTTTTAATGAGACTGAACAAGCCGCAGATTAGGATAGTAACAAGTGCTATCACAGGACACGGCACCTTTAACAAACATTTATTTACTATAGGTGTTACAGATAGTCCCCTGTGCAGGGCATGTATGGGGGAGGAAGAAACGGCGGCCCACGTGCTACTGAAATGTCCGGAGGTCGCTACATACAGGGCTAAACATCTCGGCACGCCGGGATCACTCCCCGAAGTTGCATGCAACATCAAGGGCCTGTTGAGCTTCTTCGGAGAGATCTCATGGCTCGAATAATCACATTATTCCTGCCCACACGCAAAATACGCGCATAGACGTGGAGTTGCGGAAAACAGCCCGTCGTAAACTAAACTAAACTAACTAAACTAAACTAACTAAACTAAACTAAAATATATTCCTGGCCGTATAGCCAAATATTACCAGAAGTATTCAGCCGGGAAGGAAGTGGTGTTTATTCTTTAGAGCATCTATTATCTATGGCTGGGATTATCTATGAGAAGAAAAGGAGTGAACTACTGCTTGAAAATGAAGAAAAATTTGTCTTTCTGCACCATTATCTTCCACTTTAATTACGACAATACGAGTGCATAGATATTTAATCTGATAATTCTTTTTTTTTTAGTTTTTATAATAGTTGATTAAGTATGACTATAAAATATAAAAAATAAATAAATATTTTCAGTTTACGAATTATCTGATTACAATAAAACCTCTTATATAAGTATTTTTTATTCGACCGAATAGTACCTAGATATTCATTCAGTATTCGACCAGACAGGGATAAAAGTAGCCGAATACACTGAATACCGAATAATAGTCAAACTATAAGTTATTTAGAATAAGACAACATTGGTCAATAATGGTTTTACAAGTAAAATTAGTTCAGACGAGTTGAATTTTGTTCCTGCTCAAACTAAGAGAAACTAGTTGTAAAGAAAGGAACAAATAGACTTGTTTATCATAAAGCAACATTAGTATGTAAATAACTCACATTTGGACTCTCTGTCTATGATATTTGAGGATTGATATTTAGAGATAGATATTCTACCAATTGCCAGATATTCTAATAATTAATGGGCATTTTCCAAAGTGAACTCTTATCACTCTTAACCCTTTGCCTGTTTGCACGGGCATTACATGTAATTCATTGCTATTGTCTTACTATTATGTCTGCAAACTAGCAGCAGTCAAAGTGTTAAGAAAAGCGTATGATAAATTCTTTGCAACCACTGCCCTTTTTAAAGTGCACAGATGTCATACAGATTCTTTTGTGCTGGTGTTAGAAGTGACTGTGAGCAAAGTACCTAATGCCAATGAGTAGTTGCTGCGGGGTATCTACGGCCTGTGTTATGGTCCAACGTAAGATCGTACCTCGAAACAAAGGGTACAGTTTCTTGACAATTGGCTCAGCATCTGGAGCTATCCCACTTGATCTTGTAATGCCATAAGTCATCGAGTCATGGCTACCTATAAATTGAATATGTTATAGAAATGGATTTTGAATAAAAAAATTTAATTCATATTTTTGTCACAATCTATACAAATAAATATCTGTCTGTTTGTAATGCCAAAATTAGTGTTTTACTATATGCATAGGAAAGTATAAAAGGTACTTATAACAAAAATCACTTTTCAAAATTTTTTTCTGTCTATCTGTTTGTTCTGGCTAATCTCCAAAACGGCTGGACCGGTTTTGACGGGATTTTCACTGGCAGATAGCTGGTGTCGTAAGGAGTAACTGAGGCTACTTTTATTTAAAAAAAAATAATTAGGGTTCCTTGCAAAAACATTAAAACCCTAAATTACACATGGGCAAAGTCACGGGGAACAGCTAGTAATAAAATATATGGGCAGATATTTTTAAATAACTAGCAACTTGCCCCGGCTTCACCTGGATAGGATCTAATTATGTGGCGTTATTTAGAGTTAAAATAATTAAAGACCTTATTTTATCAATGTTCCATTTTTTCATCAAAAAATCTTTTAGTTTTTCGGATAAAATATAGCCTACATCCCCTGGGATTGTTCTCTATCTTAAAGTTTCATCACAATCAGTTCAGCATTTCAAAGATTAGCCTAGACAGACAGACAGCAACATTGTTATTTATACCGTGAAGATAATCCCCTGAGCTTAATGGAAGCCATTTATTTAAATATTACAGACAGACACCTCAATTTTATTTATATTTACATATTTACTGCATATTTAACGAGAAAATATTGATTTCACTATTTTATAATAAGTTCAACAATAATTTTAGTGTGAAATAAAGATTTTCATGAAATGTGTAATATAGTTAATTCACAAATAGTACATGAAATTTTAATAAAAGTAAAAACTTTTTGTTTAAAACTTTTTTTTACTAATTTTACAAAATTATAAATTGAAAGTTAGTTGCACAAATAGGTTATATTAATTAGAGAAGTTAAACCAGAATACTGCTCACAATATTACCTGGAATAGCAAGGTAAATTAATGGAAGATTCTTTAATTGTTCTGGTAGCTCTCTCATCCAATTCTCCAAAGTAACATTTTGTGCTGAACCATCTTCACCCATTATTAAAGCTTAAAAAGGTAACATAAATATTATTTGATCACTTTTATAAGGCATTTATTATAAAATATAAAAATAACTTCAAACAAACCTATTGGTGGAATGATAATATAATTGATTATAATAAATTGTAAGTTAGACCTACTTGTATTTCTTTAAATGCAACAACTAGCTATAACAATTCAATTCGAATACGTCATGACACTACTGGCCTACTGGCTAAGAGCTAAGACCTCAAAAGCTACTATTGGTAAAATGGTAAATGGTAATATAAAGTTTCGGTTCTATTATACCTTTGATAACGTTTTAAAATTATGTTTATCATAGATAAACTCCTAGATTTACAAATGTATGTTTTGTTAAATAAAATTATGTTAAATACTACAATATTTTACACCACGCCATGAATAAAGAAGTTTTGTTTTTGTTTACATTCTGTAAAACTGTGTATATTTGTATCTGTCAAATGTCAAAGTTGGTCAAATTTTTTTTTTCGTTATATCCGGTTTAAGTTATATCCGGTTTTATCATTCAATGATTCACAATTCTCTTTTTTTTAATATTTATTTTAAGATTTTGGCTTGGATACTTGTCTTTTAAGCCATGTCTTCATTTCATTCGGGATCTTTAAAATATGCCGATGCGCGCCATATTAAAAAATTCTTGGGAGATTTTGACGACAGCTAAAACTAGCTTGCTACATATTTATTTATTTATTTATGACTAAAACCCTACGGATAGTTGACAACGACAGTATCTCAAATTCATATGGCGCCTAAGCGAACAAAATAATTTGAGGTTTATATTAAAATCGGAATAATTGTTTCGTCGTTTCCAGTAACAGTTGACATGCGCAGATACTTAATATACAAAATCACATCAATTTAATGTAACAAAACCCACTTCAAACCATTAAATAAACGATAAAACAGGAGCAACAATACGCCGACGGTCAAGTTCCCGCAAAAATCCTTTTAATTTTTAACATGACCATGGATACCACAAACGTGTGATGGATACAGAGTCCTTCAGTCAAATTATAAAGTTGGGAGCTTGCTCAATACTCTTTGAGTTAACAAGATATTATAACAAGTAAAAGTAATGAAAATTAGTTGCGATCTTTCGATCGTAACTTTGATGTTATTTTAGTGAATTTACCAATTTGAATGCTGATTACGTTGGTTAATTAATTTGAATGTCAAAATAAATCTCTTGAAGATCAACTTTTTTAGATTATTAAATTAAAGTCTTAAATTATATTTTATTTCTTTTACGCTATATAGACCATATGAAAACAACATAAAATATACTCATTTTAAAGTAATACGAAACGTCGATCTTTACATAAAAAGTAATAATCCACCATGGCTTCACCTGGTAAGATCTATTAATGTAGTGTCATATACATTTTTAATAAGGTTCTTTTTTGCGGCAAATGCGCAACCGTGTCTTTTGGAGGTTAAGCTGCACTAGATTTAGAAAAACTCGACTTCAGACATAAGTTTGTCCCAGAGCTTGACGACGTGTATATACCCGAGAAATGTTAGCACGGCTGGTCTACTAACATTGAATGTGAATGGTATGCAACATATCATTGATATGCAGAAGGAACAGTGTAGGTGATAGCACGCACTTGGATTCGAAGTATGCACCGTCGACTATGACCTTAATACTTCGATCTGTAAGAAAACTGGTGACCCAATTGCATTATTTTTCGGAAAGTCCATAGAGAGAAGCTTTAAAAGAAGCGCTATGTACCAGATTCAATCGATGGTCCGCACTGTGTCCAAAATAACCACCAGGACCTTCCACTTGGTTTCGACTGCCTTCACCCATCGGTGAGTGAGGTAGACAAGTAGATCACCAGCTGAGCGACCTGGATGGAAACCGTATTGACGATTACTAATTAGCTGATGCTCTTCAAAGTACCTCACGATCTAGCAGTTAATAATGGATTCCACTATTTTGCAAAACAAGGAGGTGATGGCGATAAGCCTGTAGTTGGAAGAGTCCAAGCGGTCTACTTTTTTAGGGATCGGGTGCACCAAGGCTGTCTTCCATGAGCTTGGAACGACGCCTAAAGAGTAAGGGAACCGGAAAAGACGCGTAACACCCGGTGCTAATGTTAACTCTGGAGCACACATCTTCAGCACAATTGGGGGGATTCCATCAGGCCCACTCCACTTAAGGACGTCCAGGGACGAATAGTGCTTAACGCACTGAGCACTGTGTGAAACGAACATGCTGCTTTGAGCATTAACAATGCGAGATGTTCGGCGGTAGATTTCCTCTGTCGTCGAGAGTCGAGTTGTATGCAAAAAGAGTACATGAAATATCGGCTTTCTCCTTTGCGGCGTGGACCACCGAGTGATTCTCTACTGAACTACGTGAACTAGTTTCTCGCCAATTCTCTTAATGTGCTCCGACTTTCCTCTATCGATGACTCTTTAAAAGGACCTGTGTTACCTTGTTGTTGACCTAGTGTTTGCATCCCGGGATGCCGATGCGTCGGCTCAGGCCTTGTAACAAACACTCCTGCCTTTGCCGCTGCTCGACGGGAGATCTCCACTTTTCCTTCCAGCCGCCACAGTGGTGACCACCCGACGTGATCTGAACACGCAACCAATAACTTTCGGAAAATACAACTTCAAGCTTTCCACATCGTCCTCAAGTACACCATTCATTCGCTCCCGAGCAGATATTGTCTGCAGTCTTCACATTCTGCAAGCCATCTAGCTTTACAAAGGTTCATCGCAGCACTGGAATATTAATGCAATTTTGCAGGAGCGACTAAATCAAGGCTGTTGATAGGCACTACAGGTGACGGGATGAAAATTTCTATCCCTGAAGCACCACATAGGCGACAGACGCAGCAACGATGTTGTGAGGTACGTAATACATTCGAGACGTTGTAATCAATGCTATGGGGTGGCCAGTGCACTCGCCCGATTTAAACCCTATGGAGCATGTATCATAATCGTGCCCCGCTAATTTGAGAGATCTTAAAAACTTATTACAGGAAGAATGGAACGTAACCTCTCCAGATTTTATTGATAACTTGATTAGGAGTATACCTAACAAGAAGACTAGAAGTAGGTCGAAGATCTAGAGGAGATAACACTTACTACTGATTATATCTCACGTTACGTTAGCATTTGACGGTTAACTCACCCATTCCCAAACCACATTCTTCAACTTTCAAAGTTTGCAAACAACTATCCATAAACAGGTTAAACAGCCACGGGGAAGCTACACAGTCCTGTCTGACACCTTTTTGAATGCCAAACCAGTCCGAGTAGACCCCGTTGATCCTGACACAAGCACTAGAGTCCCTATAAAGAGACTTTAATGCCTGCATCAAACCAGCGCTCAACCCAAATGAGGTCAGTGTTTGCCATAACACGTTCCTGTCCACTCTGTCCTAAGCCTCTTCCAAGTCCATGAACGCACAAAAAACTTTCTGGTTTTGGCCAAAAATTTCTATGCAATCATACGCATGGAAAAGACTTGATCCGTACACCCCATCCCCTTTTTAAATCCAGCTTGCACATTCCAAATTTTTCCATCAGTTTCTTCCATAACTCTTTCAATTAAAACCTTAGCATACAGTTTACCCACAATGCTAAGCAAGCTGATACCACGGTAGTTTTTACAGTCCTACTGTGACTCCTTTCCCATATATATTGGGACTATAACGGCTTTGCACCAGTCTTCCCGTACCCGCTTCATTTCCCAACATAAATTGAACAAGGTGTACAGCAGGCCTGCAATCACACCCTCTCTAGCCCTTAGCATTTCGAGTGATACTCTATCATATCCGGCTGCCTTACCTGCTTTCATGCTTTTCATTGCTTTCATTATTTCATCTACACTTATCTCCCTACCTCTCTCCATTTCTCTCGGAATTTCTATTTCACATAATTGAGACGACTCTTCACTCTTAAACACGCTTTCAAAGTATTCCTTCCAGCTCTTTAAATTCGAAACTTCATCATTCAGCATGCAGCCATTCTCGTCTCGTATAGCATTCATTCTAGGCTGTTTTGAATTTCCCCTGGCAGTTCTTACTAGCTTCCAGAACATTTTAATACTTGCCTGAAAGTTATCAGATATCGTTCTATCATTCTTATCTATCCTTTCTTGCTTTTTTCTCTCTTTTTTTGCTCTCTTTTTCTTAATTTGGTTAATTTTTGTGATTTGATCGTTTGTTTTTTTCGACGTTTGCAATAAATTAGCGAATAAAAAGCAAAATCCAAATTAATAAACTTAATTGTCACAAACATCCAATATATTTTGTCACTTTCTTTGTATTCCTCTAAATTTGTCCGTGACTATATTTTACTAGATGGTAAATTAAGAATTCTTTTTATATAAAATTTATATAATTAGTCCGAGAAAACTATCAGAAATAGTGTTTTATTTATAATACCTTAGGATAGTATATTTCGGATAGCAAACTTGGATTACAGTCTTGATAATGGCATCGAAAGTGTCGAAAGTGCAAATATATCTTGTATATAAAGTATAGTATCTAAAGTAGGTATACCTCATTACATCATTACATATTTTTCTTTTTTTCTTAGACATAGAATACTATCGAAAGTGTTACTTTCTAAAATATTCTATTGAGTGGAAACTTAAACACTATTGTAAGTGAAATATCTAGAAAGGAATAAAAATTTTATAATTGCCATCAGGGAAAAAAAAGTCTAAAATATACTTATAATTGCAAAAAATTATATTCGCAATTGTAATAATACTTATTTTTATGAGCCTAAAAAAAACTTTTAATTGTCCTCCTGTAAATTTCGTGATTTGCTGTTTTAATTGTGTACGTTGCGGCAGCCGAAACAATAATACAGGAGCAATAATCCGTCGGTATCGGTGGTCGAGATCCCACCATGAGTCCCTAAAACATTTCTCAAGTTAAACTGTCGCCTTCACTTGCACTTACAATTTTGCCCCTATTAAACATACGGCGTTTGTGCGTTATACGGTACACA